TGTTATCTACATCTACTTACAAAATTAAAAGCATTTATTCATAAGATTCATATCTCCAAGTCACTTTTAATAATGCAATATAGCTGTCTGGTTACTGTGGTAATTCTAAGAGACAAAAAAATTGCTTAAAGTATTTTTTTGTATTCTTTTGTTCATCAATAAACGATTTCTATTTCAAGTTTAAGTATTTAATTCCCGTCAAAAGTGTGATTAATTAAATAATATTTAGTGTAACTCAAAAACTTGTTCTTCTGTCTGGAAATTACTGGAAATTGTCACTATTTTCAGCAAACATAATTCAGTTAAAAGATAGAGATATCCCATCAATTTTAAATTTTCCTTCTTCTGTACATTGTGATTAGTTTTAGATCGAGTTATCCAATAATAGAGCCTTCATAAATGATTACAAGCCACGTGACAGTGTTTGGAACACTAATTTTATTTCCTTCATGGTTGCAATTAGGTACCTAATTTTCGGTAAAATTAAAATTACTAAAACAATAAGATCAAGATTACATTGAAACACAACATTTTGTTACACAAGCTGTGATTGGTGTATCTTTTCACGAGATTATATTCAACCAATCAGAAATCGCATTATCTCGAGCGCAGATGTAACGGTTTATCATTGTTCATTGTAAGCGAATAATTAATATTGGTGCCGCCAAGATTTAGGGATTTTCGTTGATAATACCAGCCCTGCAATAGTTGTCTAAGCACGGGGTCACGTGGCTTGTAAACATTTATGCTCTGTATTTTTATTATTTTAATAGGTATTCAGAATACTAATTAATTATTTACAAAAATTTTCGTAAAACGTTTCATTACAATTTTTCTGAACTCCACAAAGTACCTATCATTTTATTTTTATGATTAAATAAATGAAATTCATGAAAAATGTAAATCAGTATGTCGATAGTGCGTAATAAATAAAAATATTTATGCGAATACGAGTACCGAAAAGAAATTGAAAAGAAGAATACATGTTTGTTTGATAATATAGGAACTAAAATTGTCAAGCCATACAATATGGGCATATTTGTTTAGAGGTGGGAATAGTTTTCCGATTTCTGTAAATGCAATTTTAAAATCGAACAAAACAGTTTAGAATTGTTTGAAAAACTAAACATTTTTGTCAATTTTAGCGCTATTTAGCGGCTCAACAAACTTTTTTTGAATCACTATACCTTTTTTCATATTTATTTAAATTACTTCAACAAAGTGTTAAAAACATTTATACATTTAAGTTTTTTTAAAAACAATTATTATAAATATTATCCAGCCTACCGATATTTTTAAAATATATAAATTATTTAAGCACCTAATTGTTTGTTGCGCTTCGTTATAGTTATCACAAAAGTTGCAATTATTGGAGCTGTGATTTCTTTAAGTCATGACGTAAATAACAGAGGCGTACTGAAATAAATACAAAAGTTATTCTTTAAAATTTTGTAGTAAAAGCACGTTATGTCTCCTGTTACATTATTTATGTTGGGTTTGAACATTGCTGGCGAATTCATTGCCATTAAATAAAATGTTTTGTCATTTAATATTTAAAAATAGTATTAACACTATAGTCTGTTTGGAAATGAAAGAGAGTAATAAAACCCCGAGATAAGAACCAGCCATGGGCGTGGTAATATTTCGTTTCAGGTAATTATCGGGTAACACTAATGCTAACAGGTAATGGGTGTACATTAGTATATTTTACTGGATACATCATGGGACAGGAGCCAGTGTATTGTGACAGATCAATCCAGTCTTAGAGCTGAATATACGAAGACGTGCTAGTGCAGTAGAGTAAAATTCGACTTGTGTTTAGTGACTAAAGTACACTCATTTTATTTTAAAAAAGAAATACCAACGCTAAACAAAATTTTAAGTGAACTTTCAGAGGACAACGATTTGCCAAAAATCAGTAGAAGCAAATTATGGGCCGTCTTACGAGAGTTGAATTTTTGCTGGGAAAAGCAGAACAGGAAGTCAGTTCTTATCGATAAAGATGAAAAATTATTTGTTGGCGAAGATCCTACTTAAGATCAATTAGAAAATTCCATGACGAAGGGAGGAATATTTATTATCCAGACGAAACTTGGGTCAACGAGGGATATACTCCAACAAAAGTATGGCAAGATAAAAATGTAAAAAGTTTTCGACAAGCATTTTTGGATGGACTTTCAACAGGGTTCAAGGCACCTTCAGGTAAAGGGCGAAGATTAATAGTGACACATATAGGTAGTGCCAGTGGTTTTGTAGATGGCGGTTTACTTTTATTTGAATCTAAAAATACAGGTGACTATCACGAAGACATGAACGCAGATGTTTCCGAAGAGAATTTTACACAGATGTTGGATCTTATTCCTCCGGGGTCTGTAATTGTCATGGATAATGCCAGTTACCATTCACGGCAGGCCGAGCGGACGCCTACGACTGCTTGGAGGAAAGCCGATATAATTCAATGGTTATCCGAAAAAAACATTTCTTTTGAAACAAATATGGTGAAAAAGGAACTTTTGACACTTGTCAGTCTTAATAAATATCAGAAAAAATATGTTATCGATGAAATGGCAACAAATCGCCAAATAACGGTACTACGGTTACCACCTTATCACTGTGAACTTAACCCAATCGAATTAGTCTGGGCGCAGGTAAAAGGAGATGTAGCGCGAAATAATACGACGTTTAAATTAAGTGATGTGAAAATTTTGTTAAAAAATTCCTTGGACCGAGTAACTGCAGATAACTGGCAAAGATGTATACATCATGTACAAAAAGAAGAGGAGAAAATGTGGGAACTCGATAATTTAATTGACGTTACTGTGGAACCTATCGTTATCAATCTAGGAGACGAAGATAATCAGAATATTCAGAGGATGAATTTTAATATACCTACTTTCTTATTTTCTTTATTGTACATTTATACAACACTACATTTACTCACCATAATTTGAATTTTCAAAATACATATATTTTTGTGTGGAATAAAAGTCTATTCATTAAATTTAAATAAGTATTTTGATAGTAATATTGAATAATTTTATTTGAATTACTAAAAACCCTCTTAATCCGGTTATGATGCTTAAAGTAGCCTCATGTTTTGAAATGCTGTTTTTATATTGTTTACTGATAAGAGAAATGGACCGAGAAATTGAAGCGGCATAGACAAAGACGGATTGTCGGGGATTAAATTTTAGCTACCTGCTACAATTTAGTACAGTCCGATCGCACAAAGTTTTTTTAAAAGTACACCTCATCTATACGGAAAATACATAATATAAAAATATTGAATATAAGCACCAGTACTACATTTATTTACGATTTGCATACATAATAAGCTTTTATTACTCTCTTTCATTTCTAAACAGACTATAGCACTGTGAAGTGATCTACGGATGGGTATACAGGGTGTTAGAAGTTTGACTGCATTAATTTTAACAGACGATAGAATACATTAAAATAAACAAAAAAAAAACTTATATGACATGGGTCTTAAACTCAACCATTTCCGAGAAAAAAATTATCAGTCTCCAACTTGAAAAGTTCGATTAATTAAGGAATATTGACATAACTGGGTGCATAGAATACCATAAAATACAATGTTTATCACCTTTTGAACTTCTTTATGCTTAATTCTAAAAAATAATTAGCGTTGTAATAAATTTAAAATTCGATAAAATTCATATCGAGCAATGTGACAACGGTGCGGCGTGTAACACGAGGTACTGAGCTGTCTAGTAATACGCAATTCAGTTGGTGTTGGTATCTGGAATTGGACCGTGTTGTAGTATTTTTGCGTACAACTATTTCCTTTTCTTGAGGTGTTTTCCAGTGAGTGCCCGAAAATTGGATTCGAAGGTGTCGTGCGTGCATCGAAAATGGTGGTGGAAATTTTGAGCATAATGTTGTAGTTTGTTTTGTACTTGTGCGTTTAAAAATTACTGAATCTTGGTAAGTCCCTAAATTATTTTGAATACGTATGATTATTATATACAACTTTTTTGTTCATTTATGATTACTCTATCTCATGCTGAAGTTATGGCAGTCATACTTCTTACACCCTGTATAAGAAAGAGAGACAGGATGTGAAAAAAATGTATCGCACTATTCAGTCAGCTCTCACAAAATCCATTGACAGTTCCATAAAAAAACAATCAACGGAAAAATGTGTTATCTGATTCGCAACAGGTCAGGCGTCTGGATGGGCTGACGCATTCAGAATATCAGGACATGGGAGATGGACAGCTGCCTCAATGAAATTAGACTGAGCACCAATGAAACATGTAGGCTAGGAAGACGAAGATTTCATACACATCCTCTGTCACTGCACCTATTAATCTGTTTAATGATAAAAAATGTACTGCTACGCTTTTCACAACATTCATTCAGTTCTGGTTTATTTTAGCCATAAAAATAAAAATTTGTAATTTAGAATTATCGCGCCGCTTATCTTTTCGCAGAGCGCGAGCCAGTGCAACAGTTTTAACATGAGATTAACTGAAATTAAACCATATGATTCACATTAATATCGGTAGTTCTCAGGTTTAATTTTTAATAGGGTCATTTCATTTGTATCTAAACTGTTTTGATAAATAATAGACAATTTTATAGTTAAGCACGTTGAAAATGTGTATTAAAATGTACTGTATAAATATGCTGTCACAATTTGCAGTTCATATACTACTTTTAACTTTATCTAAATGTATTAATATAATCAAGACACTATCTGGAACAACCTAAAGGAGTCACAGATCTTTTAATTATTCTTCAACTTAACTATTAACGATGTGGAGAAAGTATGTTTTCTTAAATTAACCTTGAGTGAAACAAACTACAAGTTATTAGAGAAATGACAAACAAAAATACTGATAAACTTTAAACCTATCGATAAGACTTCTAGCTCAGCCAATTACGTTTCATTACTTTATTGCAATGACCATAAATAAATAAGAAATATTGTTAGAGTCAGTGAACGAGAAAGAAAAAATAATAAAGTTTATTACCCAATTTTTCAAACTGATGTCACTGAACTTGCATCACATTACATTCCTATTTTTAAACATAACTTTTAACTAATGCATCGGCCCTCTATTTTTAGAAAAATCGCGTCCCTATGTCTGTTTCGACTCCCATTACATAAGTGAATAAACTCATCTAATAGTACTCCAAAGAATTTATACTTGGCCCGTGAAAATGATGCAATTTTGTTGCTTCGACCATCATTCTTTTCGTATTTTATTAGCTGACTAACCGTTCTTATACAACGATACTTCTGACGTTATAAACATTGAAATGTGTATACCGGATGGCTTGCAAAATGTCTCAAGTTATAACTAATTTATATCCAGATTAAAAAAATATAACATTCATATTTCTAAAACAGACAACAATATTTCATATACTGATTGAATTTGTTTTAAAAAATCCCTAAGCAAAATTTTTCAGGTTAATATTAATTTAAACATTATGTATATATCTAGACGCGGTGTAACAATAGACAGAAATAACTGCAAATACGAATTGCGATTGTATTATCATATTAACTTGATTTACAGTCGTACTACATTTTACAATTAAATTCCTTCCATGCAAATGAAATAACTGTCCTTGAACCAGACATTTAAATGCATATCATAATTTTAGGACAGCAGTTATTACTTTCTTGCTAGTATAAATATGACTTGACAAAAACTCATTGGTAATATTAAATAATATCAAATATAAAATTACCTAATATATCCAGTATGTCCTAAATTTATGAGGAATATAATATTGGATTCTTGGAAAATGTCTGAGTAAAACTATTAAATGAGGAAATTGTTAGACTTTCATTAATTAACTTAATGGTACTTGCAGACGCGAAGCTGTCTGAAATGACGGTTGGTGAAAATTTAAATGGTTGCATTTTTAGAAAACTGCGCGAGGCCCATGTCATTTTTAGGGAATATATTTTTTCATAATCCACAGATATATAAATAGCCGTTTTTTAGTTTTCTCAAACTTTTCATTTTTCTAAAAAAGTACAATGTTATAAAATATGAAAAATAGAATATTGTTATCAAATTAATAAACATTTATAAATAAATATGAAAAATTTTCGCAAATCTACTCTAATTTTCTTGTTAAGATTTTTCCAAAATATTGGATCTTTTGAGAATTATTTCATTTATTTGTTATAGTAAATTTGATGTTACTTTAAAATATTATTTCTGTAAATATTATTTAAGCAGATTTGTTTTTAATATAGGAGGTGCTGCTTAATTTACCACAATGAAAATGATAATATAATAAATAATATTTATTATTTCTTCGGTACGGTAGGTAATTTTTCTTGTATATGTCATCATATTTTCGATCAGTATACAATTAATGAACCTTCCCTAACAAAAATGAAAAATGGTTATGATTTCTCAGGACTGAAATGTTGAAAGAGAAATCTGATTAGTTGAAGAATGAATGAACGGTTAAAAAATTTCCCCTTTTTAGACATAACCAATTTTGGACAGATTATATATGTATAAGTATCCAATATTTTATAAATATGAGATGATTTAAACAATTATTCCGAACGTTAGTTAAAAGAAGTTTAATGTTCAGTAATAACTTTTTCTTAAACTATTACACTTATTACAAAATAACAATTTTAAAAACGTAACACAGAAAAACAACCCAGCTATCGTATTTCGATATGCCAAGATATGGCTGGTGGTTGAAAATTTGACCACTATCAAATATTGTATTATAAATATTTAGTCATTCAACAAATGCAAATTTATATCCAACAGATCTCCAAACGGAATCGTTATGGATTAAAATAACAGTTTTTTCTAAAAGGTAGTCATAATCATAATAATTATAATTTTTTATTTAAATTGACTAATACAGGTCTAAAATATTATTTTGCTGACATTGATGAAATTGACATTATTGAAACTTATCTTAGATACATAAAAACGAAACACGTTGAAATAACCGTAATGGTAATGAATAATACGATATTCATTACTTATTTTATAAAATAATGGTTACTTTTCCTGTGGACATTATTTGTAGAGCAGAAAATACTCCTTACTATAAGAAAAATCTTGTAAATAATGCTTCAACAAATACGTATGGTGAAAAATAAATGCAGTTTGTGTCATACCTCCACATAAAACCTCCAAATAATTAAGTAATCAATACAAGTCACTATCACCGAACACCGTCAACAAGTTACCATAAGCGCTTTTCCCGCGCTCTAAGCTAACACTGAACTGAATACAGGCTGCGCGTAAGTACTACAAGTACTTTTAGTAGAATTCTTCTACCCCCTCTTAAGCTCAGCATCATTCATAGGAACAATATTTATCAACGCATTTCAGAGCAGTGCTTTGGGATTTACGGTCAGTAAGTACATCGTGAATGCGGATGACGAAGAGTCGAGCCTCAAAACTCAAAATATTATTTAAAAATTCCTTTTCGCTGTAATGGACTTGGTTAATTTTGAATTATAGCCAAGTTTTACGTAAAATATCATGTAATACTTTAAACAATAGAGCACTTTATATCGTTCTTAGATCCTTTTATTATCTCTCATTATCTTGTAAAGTTCGTTATGATTTATCCTTCATATTCAGTTTTTCACATGCTGCAGTAGGAAGTGAAAGGAGTAAGGCTGATTAATTTTTAATTTCGGATATATATTTTTTATATACTGATAAATTTAATTCAATTTTTACAACAAAAAAATTATGTCTAACCTCTGGGAACGAGTACCTGTATCACATTACAATAGGTTAAGTTAACAATAGTTGCAGATTTTAATTGACTTTTTTATTGTTTCCATTATTCTACCAAATCGTACGTGCATACACCCACCTATTTTCAATGCACTTGTAATTAATTCTACCATAAAAAACGATACAAAATGTATACAAAGTACTACTAAAGAGTATCCGGAAGCAAATGAGCCATGCCTTTCAAGATGATTATCTTCCGTAGATGAAAGTGAACCAATGCAGATCAAGTTACATTACTATCTCAGTCTTTTATTGACCATTTCTTTTTGACGGAGATTTTGCGAAAAAGAAGCATTACTTTATGTACTTCAAAAAAATACACTTATTCCATATGGTTAAAATACTTTGTTCCAGAAACAAATCGATGTCAATTTTCTTCTGCAGTTATCAGTTACAGAGCTGAATATTTAAAGGTATTTTATTCCAGTTAATCGCGAGCCTTTTGTTAAACTTGTCTTTTGTCAAATTTTTTATGATCAATGTTCCTCTATTCAAAAGCCAACGACTACTGGAACATAAGCATCTAACTGGTGTTTTATGAAACCACATTCTAACATTTGAAAAGTAAATTACTCTAGATAAAAGAAGTATTTGATACAGCTACACATTTAACAAATAGATTAAGTTTAATAGACTAAAATGCCACCAAAAACTCAACGTCATAAACTTTGATCTATCTCAAAATATAATATAAAACATTTTTTTAACTATGTAACTTTTTGAGGAAACAAAGGTATAACTTAGTTTATTTTTAATCAAGAAAGCTACCCTTGCAGTATAGCCATTCGGTTATGAATACCTTGTATATTTAGGTATTCGTATGCCTGTAAAACCCGATTTCCCAGGTTAAAATAAATTCGAAATATATCAAACATTCTGGGAAATAACTAACAACAACTGGAAACTAAAACTGAAAAAGATAACCCTGCCGCTAGAACTTTGGTTTGAGGAAACAATAAAGATAACAAATTTACGTGTTTTACATTTAATTTTTGTACATTTTATCCGAGGTTTTGTCGCATTTGCTGTGCGGACTAACTAAGCTCTGTTAAATTATGTAAACGTCATCATTATATACAGGGTGATTCACTATATTTTGACCCCTCATTAACTTCATTGTTTTTAGAGTTTCAAAAAAAATGTAAAATACAAAAGTTGCATTATTTTGTATGAATTTTTTAAAAATGGTAGTAGAAAAACAAATTAAGTATAAACATAATGGCAGCGCATGTTAACTTTGTTAATTTAAATGGAACACCCTATATATTTTTACATATTTAGATAGAACGCTCCCTGTCGAGCATAGTCATATAGGGTTTGATAGAACCATCTCTAACAATAAGCTGCCTTTTTTCCAATAACGTAAGGATTTACAGATTGAGTTGTAATATATTTCGACAAATCGTACATTGATTTGGTTCAAAATGCGTATAGGTATTTTAACTAGGTAAATCTCACTACTTAGACCGTGAGAGGCCTAATTACTCATGGACAATGTTATATGGTAGCATTGTTATTGTTTAATAGTTTGTATTATTATTTAATTAAAATGGGTTACCCAGAAGTAGAAAAAATATTATAGGACTTAAAATAGAGTAAAGTTCTTCTCCAAACTCTATTTTAATTCTTAATAATAATAATACAAACTGTCAATCAATAACAATGTTATCATGACATTACTGTCATTGTCATAACCTACCATATAACATTGTCCATGAGTGATTAGGCCTCTCAAGGCCTAATTAGTGAGATTTAGTTAAAATAGCTACGCGCATTTTGGACCGTATCAATGTCCGATATGTCAAAATGTAACTAAATCTGTAAATCCTTACATAATTGGAAAAAAGGCAGAAATGTCTGAAAGAGGTCTGACAATAATTACAAGATGTCTTATTTTCTTAATAAAAAACCTTCTTTTCGTTTTTTAATAGTATCTCGCTTATTGTTAGAGATAGACCCAACAAACCTTATATGACAATGCTCGACAGGAAACGTTCTATCCAAATATGTAAAAATAGACAGGGTGTGTCCATTTAAATTAACAAAGTTAACATCCGCTGTCATCTTGTTTGAACTTCGTTTGTTTTTCAACTATTATTTTCGAAAAATTATAAAAAAATCGTATAACTTTTTTATTTCAGATTTTTTTATAACTCTTAAAACAAAAAATTTAATGGGTGGTCAAAATATAGTGAATCACCCTATATAAGGGTCTACCAAATAAAATGATAATGTTTTTTTCGAAATAGTTACCATCTAGTCTAGATAAACGATTTCTCTAAGTCAGGACATTTTAGAAGGTTCAATCAGGTCTTCAAAACTGCTTCATATTT